ACTCTTTCTTGATATCGTCGCAGTCAGTCGGGGTGGTATCAAGAGGCGTGGAACGTGAACTGCAGTATTTTCTACGTCTAGTTGTTTCCTTTCTGAATCGATCGCTAACCGATCACTATTGGTACAAGAGCCGCCGAGGCAGGCAGGCATGCCCACCCCTCCTGACACCGCCCCACCTGATTGTGGACGATATCAACCAAAAGTATTGAGTATAGCGGGCATCAACAACAAATATGATAACTAGAGGGTCACAAAATGTAAAACTGACCAGTTATTCCAGGAGGTACAGTTGGTATCACAGCAACCTGTCGGGTCGCAATCAGTTGGTCCACTGCGGACTTTCTACCATTGGTTGTTTCCCTCCTAAATCGATCACTACTCGTTCACCATTGGTAAAGCAAGTCAGCTGGGCCTATGCCGCGCTGCGCTCGCCGCACCTGAGGACTCGTTGTTATGAACTTGGTATAGCTTGGTTGAAACGGACCGCACCGCTTCGGTTTTGCTAAGCACCATAAAGGGACGATGTGAAACTACTGGAATACTTACCCACAAGTCGCTAGCGCCCTGTCCCGCACCTTGAAGTGGTGAAAGTGGCACAACAACTGTAGCTGTGAGTCAGGCCAACTTATACACAGAATTGGTTGCACATTGTAGTTAGCCGTAAGCAGTGCCTCAAAGCCTAATGTGTTTCATTCGTTTCTATCGGAATTTCGGAAAAAGGCAAACTGTTTAGGAGAGCGAAGGTCTTCATCGTAGAGTGAAAGAACTGCAGCAAACAATCGACCAACAGACGAAGAAATTGGAGGAGGCAAGGCGAACAACTAAGAGTTCGTTCTGCTTGCTCTACATAGACATAGTATATTTCATTTCTTTCTCAAAATAACAGTTCAGGCGAGGAGCTCACGAGAAGAATCGATGAACTGCTCAGAAGGCAGAGGGAGATCAAGGAACGGGTAGCCCAGCTCGAGAAAAAGGTATTTTTCACCAAGTTTAGGATCACTCGAGCACGACTTTTTTAAATCTTTCTCTTTCCATCACTGTTGTCTTTCAGCATATTGGGGAGAATAGTATTTTCTTAGAAATTCTCTAGACTTCAAGGTACACAAAGGACGACCAGATTGCCCTGAAAAAAAAACTAGAAAAGAACCCTTTGCAGGTGGAAACCATCTATGAATCATTCCTTGAGGAGGAAGTTGTCGAAAGGATCAGAGCTCCTCAAATTTTGACAAACTCTGATGCTCGAGGTGTAAGACCAAGGAGAATATTCACATCACTATTGCATTTGTATCTATACAGCTCTTCTCTTCAGGTAGACGAGGGCAGTCGATTCGAATTTGTAGCAAGGATCGAGGGAGAACCAGAGCCGAAAATCACGTGAGTCCAAATTTGAGAAATATTTTTCGAGACTCCACATGTCAACGGGAGATGGGGACTTGGTAGAAATGCGAGTTCATGTTCCACATCCCCTCCAAACCGATCAACCTCAACTAGCTAACTTTGTTCCAGATTTGAAAACCTAGAATGAGATCATTACATAGTTGAAGTGCTCATGTATGACCCTGTTCGCTGCGGATGATGGGGCATGCCCAGGGCAGATGGGTTTGGCGCGGCGCCAGCCCGTTTTTCTCATTTTTTTTCTTTCGACAAGCGACGAGACTGTGTCATAAGGTTCGTACGACAGTTTGGTTTGTCAGAAGTTTCTAGATTTTCTGCCATCGCTCACACGCTTTAGCTACTGCTGAAGGACGGGCGGCGGAGCGCCAAACCCAGCATCTGTAACGCACCCCTTCTTCCGCAGTGGAGAAGACTGTAGTGAACCCAACCAAACGCTTTATATTCCAACATTCAAAAGCCTTGTCGAAAATCCACATGTCCTTTCACAAGTTCTTCACTACTTGAATTTAACACTCTCCGAGAACGCCGAGCTTCAAGTTATGAACACAGCTTCATTCCCTTCAATGGCAGCGGAAAACTCACCAGGGAAGTCCGCCAACTTACCATGGAGCTTTGAATGGAGACTTGGGTAGATCGACTGAGTCTATAAGGTTTTACACAAATTTAGCAAAACAAAGC